GAGAGAGAGAGAGAGAGAGAGAGAGTATGAGACGTCACCAATTCACCCTTTCTCTCTCTCTCTCTCTCTCTCACACACACACACACTCGCAGGGAAGCGGACGATATGAAGACAGAGGAGATGAAGTACAGGGAGAACGAAGAAGGTGAGTGTGATCGTTGACGCGAAAGCAGCCTGAGGACAGGTTGTACTCCAGCAGCTTCTCGGCAGCGGCGCATCAACAAACAACGTAGCGGCCGGGTCAAGAAGAACGCAGTTTGAAATCGAATTGGAATTTGTGCCGCCTCACGGGTGCGGGGGCATTGCAGAAAGATGGCTGCCCCTCATGAGGGGCATATGGCACAGGGCCCGATGGAAATGAGACCGCCAGTCCAGGGAGGGCATCCTGGAAAGTTGCGGTCACTACCGACAAGGGCCTGCCAAAAATATTTTTAGGCCCACGGGCACGACAGGGTAAATCGGCCGTCGAAGGGGCGCGACGCAAAATAACACAAATTACAGGGGCGCCAGACAAATTTTCCCTTTTTTTTTTTGCACCTCCAAAAACATCGGAGAAAGGATAGCATCAGTGCATCGACCGAGGATTCCATGCACCTCCAAAAACATCGGAGAAAGGCTAGCATCAGTGCATCCACTGAGGATTCCATGCACCTCCAAAAACATAGGAGAGGATAGAGGATAGCATCAGTGCATCCAACGAGGATTCCATGCACCTCCAAAAACATCGGAGAAAGGAGAGCATCAGTGCATCCAACGAGGATTCCATGCACCTCCAAAAACATCGGAGAAAGGAGAGCATCAGTGCATCCAACGAGGACGAGCAATCAGGTCACATCCTAATTATAACCTGGCAAAACATCTAAACAGCTATCAAACAGAGCATGATTCATTGCACCAGGTCAACCACACAGAGCCGACCCGGGCTCTTACCAACAAAACGGAAAGCTATTGATTGCAGCAGGACTAAGCAAACATCCAGTGTTCAAGACCAAGTACCAACAAAACCGAAAGCCACGGTCCTCGTGTCATTTAGCCAGACGAGATATACCTCTTGCTTCAAGTTGCTTGAAAAAGGGAACACCGGGATCGAAACCCGGTTCTTGCCATATCTGCTGGCAGGACTTGGACCAATTGAAATGATACTGAACACAGACGGGGAGCCATGTTACACACAGTGGTGCCCCAAAAGCCAGTCTGCGCGAAATACTGATACCCACTTCTTTTTTTTTTATTGTAGTATTTTACTCATCGGCTTGCAGTGGCGTTCGAACTCGGGTCTGTATGTCAACAGTTCAGGGGTGTACCAACCGAGCTAGGCCGGTTGATGCTTGTACCCACTTCTTTTTCCATTTTGTCTTTTATGTTGTTGTTGTTGCTCTGTCAATTTTGTGCTGTTGAATTCAAACAAACAAGGAAAAAATTGAGGATGGCCTCATCAAACTGACCGGCCCCAAGTAGTCCGGACTTATATCGTTCTGAAACAGTATTCACCAGTTAGCAGTAGCTGCTGCAGATCCCAGGGTTCGATCCCTGGACCCCAGTCTTACCTGTGTACAGTACCTGTGTCGGCCTGTAGAGTTGAACCCGTGACCTGTGTAATTGTAATAGCTGATAGATTGTCATAGGGTCCATGGTAGCATGGGTTCGATCTGTAGACCTGTCGGATAGGAGTCTTAGTCAGGTCTAGACATCGTAGCTGTAGTTTTCTTGAAAGGTCAAGGTCGTAGCTGCTACAGTCCAGAAGGGTCAGAATCGTAGCTGCTACAGTCCCGAAAGGCCAAGTCTACGGCCTTCCGGAAGGTCCCAGTAGTGGCCTTTCGGAGTTGCCCACGTTTAAGCAGAGGCAAGTGGTCAAGTGGTGAGGTAAGTGGGCAAGTGGGGGAAGTCTACCCTGCTGAGTCAATAGTCCCAGTCCCCAGTCAGTCCAGCAAGTACCGCTAGGGACTGCGTGCACTTCGGGCAAGGGAAATGGACCAGACCAACGACCTGCAGAAGTATAAATCAAGAGGCAGTGCCCAGCCATTCATTCATTCCTGCGTGAGCCATGCGGAAGGGCTGCCACAGCCACTTGTGCAAGGAGGTCGGCAGTGAGCCCGGAGGACGCAGTGGGCAGAGAGAAGGAGTTAGTATAGCGATAGGTTAGAGGCAGCCATAGCTGCCATAGCTGTAGTTAGTAGGAAGTGTGTGTGTGTGTGTGTTCGAGTGTTCAGAGTGACGTGTGTGGGATATCCAGGGTGATCCAGTGTGTGTAAACAGTGAGTTGATTAGGCGCTGATTCGCCACAGCCAGTGAAAGTGAACTATTATCTGGAAGCCATATCTCTGAGTATCGAGTGGGCGCTTGTCGCCAGTTCGCTGCGTTGCTGTTTACATACATGAAAAGTGTGAATAAGACGAGTCTGATTGCAGTTCATCCGATCCCATTAGAATTCAGCGTGGTATATAACCATTTCCGTCACACGGGCTCAAGATTTCGCTCGAGATATCTCGAAGATCCTTGAGACTCGAGGACAATCCTTCGAAAGTTTGGAGATCATTTCAAACTCTAGTCTCAAGTCCATCCCTTTTTTTTAACACAAAGAAAGAACAAAACAGGAAATGGATTAAAAAAAGGGATGGACTTGAGAACAAAACAGGAAATGGATTATACCTTTCTCGGCCTTTTGGCTAAGATCAAGTGTAGTATCTGTTCTGATCAGTTTAATATCTGATCCGTGGTCCATCGGACCAATTGAAAAAAAAAAAAAAAAACAGGAAATGGATTGAAGAACAAGGCAGAAAATGGCAAAGAACAAAACAGATGACGATGAAAAACAAACCAGGAAGGCCGTCTCCAATTTCGAAGCTGAAAGATCATTACTGCAATCTGGAATCTGCAGGCTGCCAACTTATAGCGACTCCGTGGAGATGTGTATGTACCTGTACCTCAACTCAGGCAAGCAACCCATAAACTGAACAATATAAGTTATCCATTGTTGCCAACCTCCAGACGTCAGTCATATTCCGGCCGTTGCTGATGCTGCGACGAGAACAGGGAAAGAAATCCTCAGAGAAGTGTATGTACCTGTACCTCAAGGGCAGGCTCGCTCATCAAACAACAAGCTGAGATCGTCAATGGCGGAGAAACCAACATTCCACATGGGCAGCGTGAGCTACGCTGCAGATTTCATCGTTGATAAAAACAGAGTTGATAAAAACAGAGAGGATAAAAACAGAGTTGATAAAAACAGATAAGATGTCTAAAGCGCATTCTCTTACTATAAATAGCATAAATTCATTGACGAAATGTAGCCAGCATAGACATCAGGGATATTGCCAAAAGCCACATATCAGTATGCCCTAATATATCCACAAAAAAACGCACCGCATTAGCAAATGTCATCATCGATAGCGAGAAAGGCCACCCATGACCCCTTCAAGCACGTGTGTTGTGCGTGTTCTGTAACAAGCATCCAACAAATAATGGCAGCTGAACAATTAAGACAAGCATCTAACATTCACACAATGGTGGATTCACCATGATATACGACAAAAGAAAAAAGAGCATCTACAAACAATGTGCACAAAGCCT